AGCGTCGAGGAATTAACGCGGCCCGTTATTCAAGCACGTCCACGGGAAATCCGATTAATATCGTCGTAAATACAGAACGCTTAGACGTATAAAGAGGCGAGGCGTTAGATTGTTTAAGTTTGCAGCGGCGTCGCCTCGTTGGGCCCGCGAGGAGCTCAGCCCTTATCTCGGCCGGCCGCAGACCTCGACGTTACCCGGCTGACACCTCGCCCACGCAACTTTCCAGCCAGTTAATACGTTCGCGAGCGAGGTGCATTACTTGTCGTCGCAATTAGCGCGGACCAAGCATCCTGGCCGACCGACACTCCGTGGAAACTTCAATTAAATCGCGTATCCCTTCGCTGTTTCCTCTAGGTCCTCTAGCCTCCTCCGTATCCACAGGACGCGGTATATACGGGAGAGTGAAGGGAGACAGAGAAAGAGCTAACGAGTTGGCGAAGGAAAAAGGAAAGGAACGTTCCTCTTACTCTCCGTGGCGTTCGTTCAACTCCGTTTCTGTTTCCTTTTCATTCCGGAAAAACAAACTGTCGGTATTTTAACGATACGCGAATGATTTACGTGGCCGCCACGGCGAAGCACGAGGAAGAGAGCGATTTTTCGAATCCAGACCACCCCGGCAAGCCGCGGAGATGGAGGCAGGCCCGTGGATGCGAGGAAATCACTTTAGCTGATTGAAACGAGGCTGAAATGCCGCAGTTACTTCGAAAAGTTGACCCAAGGTTTTTGGAATTTCCCTCCTGTGGACACGCGCGCACGTTCTACGTCTTTTTCCCTCTATTTTCCCCCATTTTTTCCTATTTCTTTGTTCTCTACTCCACGAGGGTTGATTCGCGGCCTGCCCGTACAAAGACGCGTCGCTACGCGGTTTTACGTGCGCGAGATTTTTTCCAAGAATCCGTGATAATGCCTAAGAAAATGTATCTAGGTAATAAAGTTTTTTAATTAGCGAATGGGTAATTAATTTAGCTACGAATTTAAAAATCCGACTCCGCAGGGGGAGCGAGTACACGTCGCTTCAGTCTCCTAGATTTACGCGCAACCTAGATTCTCCTTTGCAACGTTGGTACAAAAAATTCGGAAAGTTTTTTCCCCCCTAATAAATCTCAAACATCGTCTGTGATATTTAACTCCTGAAATATTAGCACGCACGGTTCAAGTATTTCGCATGCCGCTCGTAATTTATCACGTTCATGCTTCTCGGTTTATTAAAAATTGCGAGAACTCTGTATTTTCCTGCCACTCACCAGTATAGTCGTCACGATGAACGTCTTGTTCTGAAGATTCTCCACGATTTGAGTGTACTCCTCGTTGTAGCTCCTCGTGAAGTTTATCCCCGTTGTGCTGTTCCAGGTGCCGATCTTCTTTAACCCCTCCTTGTTGTTCAGCTCGATGATGTCCAGGATAAAGTCCGAGCGAAATCCTTGGTGATCGAACTTGATGATGCCTGTCAGGCCCGTCATCTCCACCTGTAATCAGACGTGCAACGATTTTTAAAATGAACGAAAGAATTTTCATTTAAAATTATTATTTTCACTCGAAGTCTCCTTAAAGCAAATTAACGAAATTAAGAATTCTCTTCTTTGGAAGAAGGGAATACCAGACCACTGAAATGGTCTATTAAAAGAACTATTATTTATTATAACAGTCAACTTTTTCTATCTTCACTCACCTCGTTGCAAGTAACGCCATGCCCTACGAGTTAAATTCCGATGCCACGTGCCACAACCACAGCAACGCGAGAGGTCGGTCACACGTCGAGTCATATCGTCCGAACACGACGAAGAATAACACGCAACTGAGACAGGAAAATACCTCCGGAAATGAAACACGTGCCTGTCCGCCTGTCGATGTTTACGTTAGGACCTAGCTACCCATGCCTCGCGCAACGTGACACTCGTGTTTGGGCACAGTAGTCACGACCTCCACGTCATCGACGATTTGCCAACAGACTCGACACCTCTCCTCATCACCCCGTACTCCCTCACCCCTATACTTCTCTCGAAATTACCACGCCAGTCGCGTTCCCCAAAAATTCATTTCCCTGTACTCGTGTATACGCGTCTAACGAGTCTTCCTCTTTGAAAGTCCACTAATTTTACTACCCTGCCAATCCATATTCCACCCCTTTGCGACCAGTGCATTCTACCACCTAGCAGGGTAGACGGTGTTCAATATTTACAAGCGGTTGCAATTCGAAACGTTGAAGCGGAGACGGCTGGCTGATCGAGCGGGTGCAATATGAACCGCACGTTTGCTTAACTGGGCTACCAGACGTAATTAAACACGAAATTCTCGGTGACTAGTTCTAATCAGCGACCGGCTAACCCACCCCTGTGATTAAACGTCGCCAGAAATCATCGTGCCGAACCAACACCCCTCGGAATCCAAGCTTTCGTCCCATTTTTTTCCACTACGAGCAGCCGGGTTCGAACCGGAATTTCCCGGTGACTGATCGGAAAAATGATCTCTGTCCTGCTCGCGCGAATCGTCCCCTTGTTCCGGGCCTGATCGAGTCGCCGGAAATTCGGCTATGCAGTGGAGCAGCCGTAGGAAAATTAGCGGTAGGATGCCATTACCCGCGTAATTACCAGGTCAACGTCGATACGAATTTTCGGCGTCAAATTGCATCCTGGCTGTGTTTCCGGCTGCGAAACGCCAGTTCTCGGTTACGCGACTCGTAATTAGCGGGATCGAAGGCCGCGACTGGGTGGCACACAGGTGGACCAAGCGGCGAGAAGCGTTTTTCTGTCCGGCCGAAAGTCATTATCGTTTCGGAGCGAAATTCGCATGGCTACGCCGGTGTTTCGTCGATGGTAACGCTAACGGCAGACATCGTTAGCGGGTGCAAATATTATAGAAACAAAGGAAAATACAAAAATTTGTACACGCGAAGGACGAGAGATACGGCTATCGTGACTCGTTATTGGCTCGGCTGATTTTTCAGGTAATCGGATTTTCTATTTACGTTGCTAATTGTCGCTGTGTCCTGTGTACCCCGTTTCATACTTTATCGTTTCATTGTCCTTTTTATTCGCCAGAATAATAGCGGTTTCATCCCATTATTTTCTCGAAATCTCGCGCGAAATAGATTTAACGTGCACGCCCAATTATTCGTATCGGTAATACGAATCGAAAAGGGGAGGAAACAGCGTAAAGTTGGTTCGTTACACGATTGGATTCGTACGTTCGGTGTCCCTTTGAGCGACAAATATTTTTCGATCTGCATTTTATCACGTGCCAATTAAAACTGCTTGTTAGACAGCGGCTTCGAAACTTTAACCTTCGTTATCCCGAAACCGGAAGCGCTCGTGATCCTCTCGAGACTGAATCGCGCTAAAGAAGAGAAGTTAACTTGCTCCATCGAGAAGTTAAGATACCGATCCTTTCAAACGACTGCAGCGCGAAATTAGACGATATTCAAAACGCTCGGCAACACGTTCGCGTAATCGTTTAAGCGCATTCGCCGAATGCTCGTTTCTCAGGCTCGTCTTTTCGGCTCGGGTCATTAATATCTCTACTCATCTTCAGAACTGGGCAATCCGTCTTCTAATGAACAAACCTTGGCTGCTCCTAATCACCTACACGAAGGTATTTTAATTATTCAATCTTCGTGAAACTCGTTTAGAATGGTTAATAGCAGCATCCAGCTCGTTAACGAACGCCTGATTATCATTCAGACCGTGATGTTAAAATTTAATGTTTACACCAGTCGATCTCGATACGAGCATCGTTACATGCGAGCAAACGATCGACAGATGTACAGAGACCGCGATAACATCGAAGTTTGCTCTAGAAATATCGGGAACGAAATTTGAAGAATAATGAGAACATAATGAGAACAAGGATTGATTGGGTGAGCATATAACGAGAACAAAGATTTCTCTCGAGTCGGACAGCTCAATTTCCAATGCAACAGTGTCGTCGAATTTTCAAAGTAGGTGACACCCGGAACGTTGAAAACGATTCTCTCCAAACGATCCTTCGTTCTGCCAACATTCCGGAGCTAAATCTCGATACTCTGCCATTTCGATAGCCCAAAAGGAGCAGTCGTGGTCTGCCTGTTATTAATAATCCTGCCAGCCATTCCCTTGGAACGAGTCCACCGTCTGGGACTGCAGGTTACCCAGGTGGACTTAGAGCCGTCACGACCGTCACGGGCGTGACGAAGGATTCACGGTGGCAAAACCGCGAGCCACAATTTGTCAACGGGAGAGACGTCTTCGTTTAACCCTGGTGGCAACTTCTCATTGTTCGACGGGACAATCGCGAAGAGTGGAAGGTGCGATTCTCTCTATTCGCTGTCATAGTTGCCGCGGATCGGACGCGTTTGCACATGGCCGGTACTCGTGGCGCTCGTTAATAAGCGGCGAATCCGGACGGGAGGGACAGTGCGATTAAGCATATCGTTATAATGGCTTATTACGTTGGCCGGACAGCCGATCGATGCCCATAATTCCGCGAAATTAATTTGCCCCTACTGCGTGATACGTTCCCGATAAACCTACTCGCCTATGCGTATCTGCCTCTGCGACTACCACCATCCCGTGCTCTTTATCCGCGTCCGCAGAGACAGAAACACCGCAACCGGCTGCAAGATGCACATCGATAACGGAACATTGTCGCGGCGGTTAGGTTTTTGTCGCGGTCAGCCAGCTTCCCGAACGTTTGCGCCACCGACAAACCTCCAATTACCGACCGTGCAATTAGGCCGGCTTGCACGCGACACTGTCAGCCTGCTTTGCATATTTCCCGCCAATACCGCCATTTTTATCGCTGCTACCCGGTAACCGTCTCGATCCAGCTGCCAGAGTGCTCCGCGTCCGCTCGCGCAGGCAGTATGGCAATTTTTTGGCAGCACTCGCGAGGATGTCGCGCTTGGCTGAGTGTAGATGGAGAGGACGATAGCGGAGAACGCGGCGGTTACTGTGTTAGGTTGATAAATATGTACGAGGTATCGGAGTGGGTCGCATTGGTAAATTGCTGGAAGATTTTTCGAGTTTGCGATGTGGTTTGTGTTGTCGAACCTCGGTTTGCTCGTCGAATTTTTATCGCAAGATTTCACAGTACACGAGGATAATCTTGTTTTAAGAGCTGTGTACAATGGCGTCCATTTAAATGTCGAAACTGCGTTTGAATAAAAAGGTACCGAGGTTAGCTGAAAGTGGGAAAGCTTTATTCTAGAGCACCTTACAGATGGCCGAGGATCAACCTGTCTCCCACGAGAAATCTTCGTCCTCTGCGAAAATACGAGACACGAGATTAATGAATCGACCGGTGATAAATTCCAAGCAGAAGATGAATTTAAGGGATAATTTGCACGAATGCGGATTATTACGTTGTAATATAGAATCAAATCGTCCGATTTTGACAGGTCAAAAGGTGTTCCGCGAATCCAAGAGTGGATGTAGCTGTTCGAAGTGGATTTCTGCGAAACCCACGATGAGGAGAGGAAAAAATTGCCGCATCTTCGAAAGCAGCAGGTTAACTTTCTTTTCCCTTTGGCAATTACGTCACAGGCCGTCCGTTCCCATCGGAACGTCGTGTTCCCGACGTCATCGTGACGGGAACGTCGTTTCCTGATCGTTCGACTCGTTTTCAATTGGAGCTTTTCCAGCGATATCGCGATAGGATTAAGGCTGCAATGGAATTTTTCCCCTTTTGTCGTGACGTCGTATACCGGCTCTTTGAACATCTATCTCGCGAACAATCGTGGGAATACACGGTAGGTTCTTCCCCCGGAGTGGAACACGCGGAATAAGATTTTCACACGTCGAAGTAAACGTACTGCGGTATTAATCCTCGATCGCGAAGTCTTCCTGCTCTGTTACGCATTTTTAACTCGCCTTATTAGCAACTTCATTTTACCCTGTTACCTTGCGTTTATTTCATTATTAATTTCATTGTTGATCACGAGTGCGTAATTACGCCTCCGCCTACCCTACTTGCACTTCCCCTGATTACCTTTCAACTTTTAATTAAATTCGAATTTATCTATTCCCTCCATTATATTTTTTTAAATTATACGAGTTCGCCCGATACTCGGCGCAACTGATCGATCCTCCGTTGATTAATTTGCGCATAATTATTCGGGTTATTAAAAATTTCCGCAAAGTTCGTTCGCGTCCCACACGAGACGAAGTCGCGGATCGGTAGATCGCTATCGATCCACGATACGATCGATAAGCTGCGAAGTATAATTTACGATATTGGAACCGAGGTACTCACGATTTTCATGTAGTTTATGAGGGAATATCCATGGGGCCAGGTGTCGGTGGACTCGCAGGACAGCGGCTTGATGTCGATCTGTTGGGACGTATCCAAATCGTGCAGTGCTTTCGCAAACAGGTGCACGGCGTCGTACATCAGCGACGTTTCAGTCTGGAATATTCACAGTCGAAAACCAAATGTTTCACTCTCGTGTCGGTCCATAAATTTTTCCAACAAATTCCCCGGCAAATTTATACAGCACCCATCCAAATCTAATCCAATTTTTTATCGCAAAACAGTTCTGCTCCCGCGTGAAGGTACTTCATCGCGTTTAGTCGCGTTACGAAGAAGCATGGCTGTATCGAAATTAAACGAGGAAAAAGAAAGGGAGAATGAAAAAGAGAAAAGAAAATGAATCATCCCGAATGCTTCTGCGATTACGCTATAAATCCACGCTTCCACTTCTCCGGCGTTTAAACTTCTCGAATTGCGATCAAAACCTTTCGTGGATACCATTCACGCGAACGTCGTTGCTTGTATCGTGTCTACGCGTTTTTCCCGTCCCAGACAGGCAATATCTTCGCGGGACTTTACGGGACACGGTTCCGCAGCCATTTACCGGGAAACCAGACCTGTTCCGCGCGCGTGTGGTACCGCGAGATTGCTCGTCGCATAGTTAAGGTGAAATTAAGTAATCCAGTTAACATGGAAACTCAATACCGATACTTCTTTTTCCGCGATCTTGATTCAATTTGCATACGGCGCAATCAATCAGACTTAGCCCCGGACGCGAGATAACGCGGGACGCGGGGGGGAAATTTAAAAATGTCAGGAGCGATAATTAACGGGGAATTGCCGCGTAAATGTCTCGGCAAGTTCGATAGATGTAACGATAACGGCGCGATATTGTTGTACCATAGATACAGATAACGCGTAGGCAACCGTTCCGTGGGATCGTTATTTCCTGTTTATTAAATAATTTACGCGCGAGAAGCATCAAAGCACTGTGATTAATAATTACACAGCCGTAAACGGTGGGTCGAGATTGCTCGTCTATATCTTGCCGCGGAATTAAAAGACCCGGTTAACTTGCAAAACTCTCTTTGCGAGGATCTCTGCCGAGATCTTCCGCAAATTCATTTGAATTCATAATGCCGGGCAATTCTTAACATGACGATCCGGAGAATTTAATTTCGCCATTCTTCTCCCTTTTCGAGCGAGATTTTTCCCGAGTGCTCGTAAATAAAGCGACATTTCATGCAAGTTTAAATAATAATTCGCCTCCGTCTTACCTTTATGTAGGTGAGGTTGTTCTGCTCCGCGTGTGCATGAAACAGATATTCGTTACTCCATAAGAGAAGATGATATAGAATAATAATAAAGTGCGCGCGGCGGGGAAAAATGATTATTACATATCACGCCTCGCGATCAGAATGAGATTCCAAGGTTAAGCAGACGATGAGGATCGAATAAAGGAAATGGTAAATAAATGGCAAACTTCTCCCTTTGCATGCTACAAAGAGACGTACATATGTACGTGCTATCTTTATCTACGGGATAACTTTTAAACGGCGAATTACACGGCGAACCTTCCGATCTCGAAATTGCATCGAAATTGCACGTTCAGCACCGGGAGGCGCATACTTAAATGAAAATCTTAGACGCGAAATTAGCCAGTTGGTTTTGCTCGCCTTATCGGTCGGCAGGTAGGAATACCGTCGTTCGCGATTGATCGTGGCGTCGCAAATAAACGGTTGTCGACATTTCTTTGCTGCACACGCCAGCAGAAATTAATTGTCGCCCGGTGTGGCGCCTGGTCGCGAGGAAAATGCGGCAAATGAAAACATCCACGTGCCGCGATGGGAAATGATCACGAATCCAGGCGTGAGCACCGGCGACGAGGTGTAACAGGCGTTTCCTATCTATACTTACAGTTGTCGATAGCAACACGCGCGTACCAATTTATCCGTAATGCAACGGATACATTGATCATTTGTCACGTGCACGCGATCATAGTTAATTAGCGCGATTTTGTTAAGTTCACGCCATGCTGCCGCTGGCAGCCGGCTCAACGCGAAAATCCAGAAACCATGTCTTTATCGTCGCGTTCATGCTGCATTTACGCTCGATCCGCACGGATCGTGCGATTAATGCGGCAGAAACGACGATCGAGCAATTTTCTACGAAATTCGCGTTTTCTCGTGAAACGAATTCTATCGCGACTGCGAACATGTACGATTCATAGATCGATTAATTAATCGACTCGATCATGATTCTCGCTTATCCCTCTCCCACATCTAGGAGCTCTAAATAAAACAGAGGAATATTGAATTAATATTACCCCTCTGATTAAATTTTACCTAAAATTTGCTCTTCCAGGCTTGCCTCCAATTACAATCGTATCGACGTGCATATATTTATATTCTAATTAACGGCACGATATAATTGTTCCGTGGCACAGGGGGTGGTACTTCGAATATTATTTTCGATCTTTCAGTCGCACGGTTACTGCTCCATTTTTCCACTACTCGGTACAGAGAATTCGAAATTGGTGGAAACGTCGGAATAAAGAAATTGACGAAAACGGCGTAACGTTCTTACAGATATAGCAAGGTGGTTCCAGTGTCGGAGATCACGGGGTTCTTTGTGTCGATCGTATCGACATCGCGCAAAGGACGCGCAGTGGCCAGAGCTCGTAAAAGAAATTCGCGTAACGGTTCGGGGGCAAATTGAATTTCGCGGGACAGAATGTGGTTCGTGCAGAGAACGCAGAACGGCGAAAGGGCTGCGAATCGCAGGAGCTTCCGCGAACCGTACGATGAAAAGGAAATTTCGATGGATTTTAGCGAAACAACGCATGCACGGAAGGCACGCGTGGTTATTATCGAATTCCGGTGAAAATTTCTGCCCACGTGCACCGCGTTACACGGCTACTTACAGGACTTTGTTTTCTTTTTCATTCGTGTTCCTTTGATAAATTTCCGGCGAATACGTGACCCCAGTTCCATCCACGATTTTCATATCGATTCAACGTTCTCGTAAAGGAATGAAAAAAAAAAAAAAAAAAATGAACGAGGAAAAATTGTCGAGCCTATTCCTTCTAGATGAAGGAGAACCTTCTCTAGAGGAGAAGGTGGGAATATGGACTGGGGAAACTTAAAATTCGACGCGCAAGGCGTGAAGAAAGAACCCGTTCCTTGCCCACTGGGTGCGACAGTGATTTTCCTATCGATTCGACGTTCCCGTAAAGGAAAAGAAAGAGATAAAAGAAAGAAGAACGTCACGAGACACTCATCCCCGTCAAAAATAGTTGCATGTGCGCCCAGAAAACGCGACATTTCTCCCTTCATCCGGCGCGACGCTGAGGCCTGCTGGAGCCGGTTGCTAAGCAAGCCTTGCCCCCTTCTAGCCGCGAGATCTCTCCTCTTTCGACGCTCCTAAGATCGGTCACGTACCATCATTTACTCACATCCGCTCAATTTTCCCGCATCCATGTGCACGCGTATTTACATACTCGTCGCCGCTCGCCTAGCCGGCGACTCGTACGGAATCGCTAATGCGGCCCGCGTCAGCCTCCGTGCCCCCTTCCGCCCCGATCCTCTTCGTCCTTTCCTCCTTCTGCTCCAGTTCCGTTCACGGTCTTTCTCCGTTTCACGACTAACAACTTTCTGTTACCGTGTAATTGAGCTGAATTACGGCGTACAATAAACGCGATTTCGTATTCGTCGAACCGTTCGCTACTCTCCGCCGGCGGGGGCCCCCTGTTCCACTGCCGCTCGCGCGTCGCTGAATTCGAGAGGTCTTTTTGCTCCTCTGCCGGATTTTTTCTCTTTAGCAGCGCAGGGAGAAGCCGCGAGACAATCGGCGAGGCTCTAGCGAAATAAATCGGGTTAATTGTACGCAGGGAGAATACAAAATTCTTCGGCTACCGCGACTTCTCTGCGACTACTACCCCCTGTCTCGTTGTCGCGGAACTCCGGCGCGTTCCGTGGCAACTTCTTCCGATGTTCGATGAATAAATCAGTTCGGTTATGAAACGCCGTTGCAGCAGTTCGTCCGCGGGCTTCCACTCGAATATCTCTCTCCGCGACTTGTCCCGAAGGAACGCGGCGTTCCTGGTCGCAATAATGGATGAGCTGCCGGCCGGAGGAAATTATTCTCTCCTCTTCTCGCGCCTTAAAAGTGTATCGATGCTCGATTAACTCTCGTCGACGTCGGTGTCAACGGTTCTCCTCGGTTCCGCGTTTGCATCGTCGAATTTTTCTCTCGAAGACGCGACGAGTCCGGAACACCGATTGGATTTTACCTTAAGGAGCCTCGCGCTTTGTACGTCGCCGCGAGAAGGGTCTTTTTATCGCGCACTTACGGCCGCGTGCAGCAATCGATTCCTTCCGAAGCTCTGCTCGCCGTGTTCGAGGGACGAGCTTCGAGAGGAGGGCACGGGGTATTATTTCGTGGAAACGTTGTCTCTCGCGAGCGGCCACGGACGGCCGAATTTAACGAAGTCGCGACGAAAAAGTGCACCCTCAAGTGCACCCATCGGTGGCTGGCTTCCGCGGGGTCGTTTCCTTCGCGTTATGAACGGGTCAGGGATCAAACAAGCGTGCCTCCTAGGGGAAAGAAATGAATGGAGGGTATAGGAAAGGCAGAAAGGCCGTAGGTAAAAAGATATAAAGCTCGGCAACCTTAGAATGCCCCCGGGGTGCCTTCCAACGGTTCGAGCCTCCATTATTTAACCCCTCTTTCTCTCTTTCTCCCTTTCTCTCCGGACCGCTGATCCCGTTCAATTGTTTGCGTTTTCATAGGTGAACCTGTGATCTTATTTTCTGCCTTTCCATCCGCCCCTCGCTAGGCCTCAGCTTATCTGGAGGGTGCCTCTCCGACGTCACTCCGCGTATCCCCGGAATATTCCATCGATTCCGGCGAATCTCTTAATCGAGAAAATTCGATAAAGGTTCGATAAAGATCGAAAATTTTATCGCGAGATTATTTCCGCTGTTCTTCGCGCTTGATTGTATATTTATCGATAATCAAATAACCCGGAACACGCAGAGGATTAAACGTATTTAATCCAAGGATCCTGGAAACCAACTTCAATCTCATATTACATCTGGGGCTCTAAATCCGAGGTGCAGGCTCCCTCGGATTTCTTCTGCCACTACTTACGATCCGAAATCGCAGGATTGCGGGCGTTTCATCAAATTCGCTCGTATCCCGGACTCGCCACACGACGTCCATCGGCAAAAAAGTTGCCGCAAAGTTCGCGCGAACGTGCGAGAGCGTCGATGCAATTTAACCTTTTTAAGGGGGGCGAAAGCTGGCGTCGGTCGCGGCAGATGTTGCTTCCCACGAGATGGCCGAACGTCCAGATTCGCTGCTCAACTTTTCCGCGGTTGATGCCGTGCCAGATGCGCGCAATGATATAATCTGCTTCCGTGATGCCGGCTCACGAACTGCTCGAAGAACTACCAATTAGGGACGTAACTTTGGTCCCGAACATGTTTGGATTGCTCAGCGTTTACGTTCGTCCCGGAATCGGGTATGACAAAAATTTTAACGACCTGGATGGAACATGTAAGAGACGATATGGCAAATGGAACATTATCCTGCAGGAATTCTCGAATTTCGAAAATTCGGTACGGTTTCAAATTTCAGATTTAACAAGGTAATAACGCCATGTCCGATTACGTGCTCCATGTTCGTACGTATTTGGATCATTTTCAAAGTTACTAATTTACCTGTATTACAACTCAATACGAGGCTCGTTAGTAGATACGATTTTGAAGCTTTGTATCCCACTGTTTGATACTAATATTAGTAAATCGGTCAAAATGTTTTCGGCTTTTTCGATTTTCCGATATGAAATATATAATTCTAATTCCTCGTTTCGCAAACGCTTTTATTAGTTACGGTACAAATTTATTTTCACGAAATTGCAACGAAAAATATTTTCATCCAGCGATAAAATACCCTGTATCTTTCTCGTTTTATTCTATCGAGGCTTCATCCACTGATGACCGTTGACAAGAGACGAAGGAAGGTATACTATGACAGAGCAAATACAGCAACGATTCGCGAAAAATTGATAAATTGTTCAATTTATCGTTAATAACGGTATATTCGGATTCGGGTTTATCGAAATAATTGAAAGAATTAATAAAGTATCGGCTGTTTCGGTGGAAAAGTAATTATCGGTTGAATCGGCAATGATCGGAAATTTTCGGGTGAAGTTCGATCGCTGACTGTATAAAGATCATGCGGTCACCTAGAAGCTCTTTTACCGGTACCTAGAGACTCCTGGACCAGGATGGATCTTCACTGGAGCTGGTTAGTGGTGCCAAGGGGGTGGCCAGTGGTCAACGGTGAGTGGTCAATGCTCAGTATCTTATATACTTATATACACGTGTATCTATGTATATTTCTTTCCTTTCCTAATATCGCTAGATTTTCAAATCATCCTTGGACTCATCCTTTGTCTTCGTACTCTAATTTCTGTTTCCCCATTTCCCTCCTCTTTTCCATTCGTTTCATATCGTATTTCTTACTCGTTTCGTACTAAATTCTAATTTATTTCTTATCTCCTCCATTTCATTTCCACCTCTCCATGAATTTCTAATTTCTTACACGACCAAACTCTCGGAAATACTTACCCACCGAATTGTAACTACAACTTACGCTACGTATTTATATACACGGTATCTAATGCACACGTTGCACTCGTAAACCGAGGTTTTAATTGCCGGATGAAAAAATAAAAATAAAAATGAGCACTGAATAAATTGTAAAATACTTCGCTACCAACAACTGCAAAAATTCTGCGAACAAAATGTCGAGCATAGTGTCGGATGCTGCGGGTTAAAAATTCTGGCCACCGTTCTTCTATGCTCAATTGTATCATCGATCGTTCTAGTAATTTCCCTTGTCGCGTTTCACCGGTCGAAGCAAACAGAGAAAATAAAGATACCTAATGGGAATACAAGTGCGTGTGCATCTGCGCGCAATACAGCGAATATATATATATTATACAAGTATGTATACGTATATACAAGCGATCGCACATATACCGGCGCAACGTAGTACGATGTCATTTCGTTAGCTGGTTTATATGAAGCAGAATGAGGAACACGCGGAGGAAGTAGGTAAATTGCATAGGCAATTTCCGCGACGAAATTCGCGTGATCAATCGAATACCGCGGTGAAATTGGCTACGAATTCGACCGGCCTATGGAAGCAACACGGGCTACCTATTCATCGTGTAGCATTTTTGCAGAATTATAAAATTCCCACGCGATGCAGAGATACCAATTATGCGGTACGCAATTATCTTCTCCGGCGACGAATTTATTAAAGCCGTGAAAAATTATTCATTAATTATAATTAATTATAATTAATTCTTATGTCTCCGGGACAAATCGTGTACTCTCCTGTACACCCCACCGGAAACGAAATTTCGCTATTCGCCAGGAAATCAAAGTACACCGACGATATACCTGCGATTTAAAATTTCAAACGAAATTGGAGCTATCAATTTCGAAGCACGAGTATCCGTGTACAAATCTCGGTGGTAGAAGTCGGAATAATAAGAGACAAATTTAGCGGTGGATTTCGGAAATTAGCACCTTTCGTGAGAGATTGCTACCGGTACCGACGCGGCGAGAAGTTGGAGCTTTGTCATTTGCTGGATGAAGTTCCTTATGCGCCGGATTCTTCCGAATCCAGCATTTCACTGAAAGGAAGTCGACTGTCGGCTTGTTTATGTGGGTTCCACGGCACGGAAAGTTGAAAGCGACTTTGTTTCGGAACTCGAGAGTCCAGACAGTTACGAGGTAGAAAGTCAAACACGGGTCAAGATAAAACGATTTCAGGGGTATTTAAAACCTCTTATAGAGGTAGTTAGAACGAGAAATTAAGTAGAATTCGAACACTGAAAAAACGGAAGATAAATAAGTTATGAGACTCGGGATGTAGTCCCACTTTAGAACTGCACTTCCCATCTCGAAGTTTAAGGAGTCAACATTTCGATATAATTTTGCAGACGCGAACGAGCACCCAACTCGAATTAAATAAGAATCAGGAACTTTTAATTATAATAGCACGGAAGCATCCGGCGTCGACAGTCAAAGATGATTATCCTCGCTATTATTCCCTCTCCGAGTTCTCCGAATTTAATTCTCGATTACACGTCTGGCAAAAAATCGCGAGATATCCTTACAGATTCTAAAGGGGAAGAGACCAGAGTCTCGGTGAAAAGTCTCAACACGGAACTTTCTTTTTTATCCCGCAATAAAGTTTAAGAAACGAATCGACGTTTTGGAATAATTTCGTAGAAGCGGACGAGCGAGCAATTTAAATTAAATAAGAATCAGAAACTTTTAATTGTCACGATCTCGAAGTATGACTCTCAACGCTCAAAGACAATTATCCCCTTCTTTATTCCCAATCCGAGTCCCCTGAATTTAATTCCCATCCAAGTACATCGTTTCCCGCAGAAACCACCAGACGTTCCAACCCTTAACTCGCAACTCTCCCGCTCTCTCTGAATAAAAAAAGAAAAAAATAGGAAAGAAAAAGAAAAATCCACGCAATAATTATCTCTTCTACCAGAAGAATTCATCGCGAAGCTAATCGACCCTTCCATCTCCCGAATATCCACCATCCCCCGACAAGCCCAGTTCGCGTTACGAGAAACTCAATTTCCCATGGCGACGTTCAACTTTCGAACGAGTGACGTCGAATTACGTATCACGTATTCGGGCAGCTTATTTTCGGTCACACATGGAGCAAACGTGAAGAAGCCAGCGGAGGAGGCGTAGGCGTCGGACACGTTTGCTGCGGAACGGCCGCTGGAAGAAGATCGATGTAGCCGTCAAGCCGGGTTGCGCGAAGAATGTAAAATTAGAGTGTTATTACAGCGGACAAAGCGGCGGTAAGCGAGCAGCTTGTTCCGCTGCCGCGTCACGGAACGATCTTCGCATTTGCATGCACACGGGCCAGGCCCTGATGAGTTCGAGCGGCGGCCGTTCAACGAGAAAATTACATAGACACCGCGAGCGCGTTCAAATCCTTCGCGTCGCGCCGCTAATTAAGCTCGCACGCGTGCACGCCGAAATTTCGCCGCGTGTTCCGCACGCGCGTCTGCTTCGCGCCAAGTCAAACAACGACCCAACGTCCACGAGTGTCAGGGTGGTTTCCGCGACCCGTTAGCGGTCACGGGATGCTGGAACCCCGTTTAATAAGCTGGCTAGAGTATTCGTACGCGTGTGTGCGTTTAATCCTTTCTTTGGATCAGACGATACTACTCTGCGGGATTAGACGATAGCACGTACTACAATCTTCAGCGTTCCTCCCAGGCAAAAAAAATCTTACGTTTATAAATTGGACTTGATTTAGGGAGTACTTGATTTTAGGGTAGGTAAGGAAATATTGGAAAAGAAATTATTTCCCAGTAGATTAACCATTTGCGGTGCAAAGAAATTCACGGTTGTGCATGCCAGAACAGTCGAGTGCAAATCACTTCGGGGCGGGTTCAGCGTTCGGGGGGTTCCAGAAGAGAATATAAAGACGCATCAACTGATGATGAAGTGCATGCAGAAACTGTGCCTCCGTGAAGAATTTCATTAACAGTTGACGTGCCACGCACGTCATTTTTCTTCCTGCAACAATCGCCTGACGACGTGTGTAACACGTCGCTGGTGTTCCGGTAACAGAAGCATCTCGACGTGCGTTACACGTCTTTCCATCGTAAGTGGTTAATAATCCGAGATTAGAGTGACAACAGCTGCGAAATTTGAAACGAATCGCGTCGTAAGCTAAGATTAGCTTATTCAGGATTGACTGTCTTCACGATTGGGAGCTCACAATTTATATCTTAATGCCCGATTATCTTTTGTTCTCACAGGGGGGTGCTGGCTTCTGCGACCCGTTAGCGGTCACGGGATACTGGAACCCCGTTTAATAAGCTGGCTAGAGTATTCGTACGCGTGTGTGAGTTTAATCGTTTCTTCGGATCAGACGATACTACTCTGCGGGATTAGACGATAGCACGTTCTATAATCTTCAGCGTTCCTCCAAGGCAAAAGAAAATCTTACGATTATAAATTGGATATGATTTTAGGAAGTATTTGATTTTAGGATAGGTATGGAAATATTGGAAAAGAAATCCGAAATTAGCGAGACAAATAGCTGCGAAATTTGGAACGAATCGCGTCGTAAGCTAGGATTGTCTTATTTAGGATTGACTGTCTTCGCGATTGGAAGCTCACATTTAATATCTGATTACCCGATTATTTTTCGTTTTCACAGGGGGGCACGCATCATGGAACGCTCTCGATGGTTATAGTCTTTCCAGAACCCCGAGCCGTGACACGTGCACCCTCGTCTTGGCATGTGTCTACTCCATCGTCTTTTTCTTTGTTGGGGGTACGCGTCGCGGGACACTGTCAATGGTATTGATCTTTCTGAAACCGTGATCCACGACACGTACCCTTGCGCAATTTGTAAGTGGCCATCGAACGCTCTCGATCTTTCGAGGTCGTCATAAGATAAAACGTTTTCAAGCATTTTCACGCTGAATTTCCAGCGATCGATTTCATGAAAAATTCGTAGCTATATTCAGGATCCTAAGGGATTTCGAAATGGCTAATGCGATTAGATTCGACTTTGTACGGGGTACGTGTTGCGAAATGCTGTGAATGATTCCGGTCTTCCTAGAACCGTGATTCGTGACACGTACCCCTGCGCGATTTGCGACTGGCCATCAAACGCTCTCGATCACTCGATCCCACAATTATATCGTTCTATTAAATATAGCATAACGCTGGAAATAGAGCAGTCACGCGTGCATCGAATTACTAACGCGATTATTAAATAATTCGGCTAATGTAGATGGGGAATGGTCGGATAAAAATGAATCAATCGTGAGAATCAATTGCAGGGAAATACGAGAAACGCGTGAATATTCGAAACTTCGATAATACGCTTAATCGTTTCAGTAATTACCGCGACTGTTCAAATTGATTGGTAATATAGGTACACTTTGGCTTACCTTGTTGGAGCTCTGTCCCATATCGAGTTCTCGATCGTACCGCTTCTCGCCAAAGATCCAATCTTGCACGACCTTCTGTATTTCTGGCTTCTCCGGGTCCACTAATCGAAAGGCAGTGATATTGGTCCCGCCGTGCTTGAATTCCTCCAGATCGACGCTGTGTAGGTCCTGCAAGGAATTCGGTCCACTTTATGAATTTCCCCCAGCGATTGCCGACCTTTTTGCATGCTGTCCGGCCAAGAATTTTATTCCCCCCTCGAGCCATAAACGCGAAGATATCGCAGTCCACCGACGCTTACCGCGGATCCCGAGATTTATGGAACATTCTCCGGCTGATGGAAAAAATTGCCACGGCTCCGATACTCGGAGTTATTCTCATTTACGATCCTGGATAACCGGACACGCGAACTCGCGATCGAATAACTCGCGTGAAACGTTCCGATACGAAAATAGAAATTTCAGACCTAGTTGCAAGCGATTTTACACTTGGCGCGATCGACGGAAACAGGCGCGGGGTCGTAAAGTTTTTAACTGCGGGGCAGTTCTGGAGGAGCGTAACGAACGGAATCGGAAAAATATAGGGACACGTTTAAAAATATATACAGGTTAGTTCCTCCAATAACACGGTTGTTTCGTTCGCCATTGCACAGGCCGTGTTAAACGAAACTCCTAGGATGTTCATTACCCGCGTTTATCTGCGGAATATTCCGTATAATGTTATATGGAAACCGTTTTCTCAGAAATATCTCGTTAAACCAAGACTGTTGCAAATTTTCGCACGGTGTTGCAGCGAATCATACGTTTCAAAACGCCTTTAACCCTTTGCGGACGGGGCTGCCGCGATAGTCATTCAAAACAACCAGCGCTCATTTCTGCTTACACGCGATTTTCGACGTAAAACATCTCCGCCACTTAACTTGGGTCGTGGGGCCCTAGGGTCGCAACAGTGGACGCATATATGTGGGAATGAAATATAAGGACAGCCATGAAAGAATATTAAGTGTGTTTGGGCGTGGAAAGAAAGTGACCGCGTGCAAGAGGATCGAATGTAAGGGATGTTTATGACAGAGCCGAATGCGATAAACGAGTGGAAGTCTATGAATGCGCCTGAGTGTTTAGGATACGTGACCGACCGATTGAGAAACAGAACGTGAATATAGATGAGGACAGAATGAATGGTTTAAATAAGGGTACAAGGGCGCGAGTAAGACAGTCCTTCACGGTCTTCAAGATGGTGTCTAAGAAGCAAAAGTCGAGCGTACCCGTAGCGGGTCTCTAGTTTCGTAGCCGATAATATAAGTATAAGCTTATTGTATTTTAAGAAGAAATAAAGCAACGTTACTTTAGCCTATCCACCCACCCCGATACTACATATATGTGGGACTGGAATAAGTGTGGCTCTGGGAAACGTCAAGTATGCCTGGGCTTAGAATGAAAGTGACCATGTGCGCGAGGATCGACAGCAAGGAATATTTATGGTGGAGTCGAGCGAAAGTTTAAGGATGCGTCCAGAATGGTTGAAGTGCCTGGCCCACCGAGGTTGCGTGAGAAAGGAGCATGACTGAGAAAGAAAGCAATGTTATGGATGAGGAACAGGATGAACGGTTTAAATAAGGGTGCAAGGGCGCGGGCGAGCCAGTCTTTTAAAGACTCTCCGAGAGTCTTTAGGAAGTTGCTAATGGTGTGTCAGGATGTAAGAAGTCAACGTACCTACAGCGAGTAACCTCTCGTTAATCTACGTATAAGCTTATTCTATCTTATCAAGAAGTATTTTAGCCCATTCACCCAAACCGATCCTTCATATATGCGTTTCTCGGCCATAGCAGAACGCTTTTACGTGGACCCTATCAATTGTTTCTACCGAACGCATATATGCAACGGTCATCTCCAAAGGGTTAACGTTCTCGCGAATAGGATTTTGTGACAGAAAGCTTGTGACAGAAAAGACGCAGGAAATTGAACTTAAACGGATATTCGCTTATAGAATGCTATTTTCCAGCTGCTCCCATTGCACCCATGTCAGCTCGAATCCCTAGCTGGGTAACCTCGAATTCGCTCGACACGTTTCGAAGGAGACACAGAGAGCGGGCCGGAACCCCGAAAGCCTGCGTCATCCCGTGGTGCGCTTAAGCTACCACCCATCGATGATCATCGCTGGAGACGTTGCCGTTCGATTGAATCGGCTTCCTCGCATAGTTCGATCCGTAAACGCGTCTCCGGCCACGCTTCCGAGGACAGATATTACTCGGTCGGACACGAAGCGCGTCGCCTATCAGCAGAAATAGAGATATCTCGGGCAGAGAGAATGGAGCTCGCAGCTCCTCTCCGGCGAGCTATCTACATCGTAGTGGCAGCCGGCGTGATTTAAAGTCGGCCAGCCTCAAAGCACAACTCCGCCGCGTCCACCTTTTCGAATGCTCAAGCAGCCAGCCACGGCCATTTATTATCCTTTGTCCCGTGTTCTGGCCGGGATAGATAAGTTGGCCGGTGCCGATCCGCCGTCCCGGCCGATCCAACGATCGACCAGCCTCGCGATACACCGGCACCGTGGCCGATCGATCGCGCAACGGTGATCGATCATCGCCTCGCCTCGCCTCGGCCCCGGGACATTCCTCCGTTTCTTTACGCCGCGATATTGCCCCCAGCGACGCGGACCTTCCCCTCCGCTCGATGAAATTACGCGGATTTGAATAGTTTCCGAGGTGTCGAAGCGGAGAATCGACAGGAGCTTTCGCTAACTTTTATTCGGCTCGTTAGGGCAGACGGGAATTAGCAAATTCGAATTGTGCGCGTTTTCTCCGACACCGGGAATAAAGAGAATTTGCATGGGGTTGAAAGTTACGTTCCAATTCGGGTGATCCTCTTTTATACCCTCGCGGTGGCTTACCCGTCGGCGAGGGGTGAAGAACAGTCGATTAACCCGAGTTTCAAAATCTCGTCACGATAGCAACCGGCCGGAGAAATTTATCGGGATCGTCGGAATTTTAAACTTTCCTAGGTCTAGGTCTTATCGCGTTACAAGCAGTTTAGCAAAAGTTACCGAGGCCAGCGGAATTCTAAACTCCACTAAATCCAAGTCGGAGAAGCGTCTGACTCTGTACTGCCAAGTAATAACGCGATGTTTAACGATGACGTAGTATCCCCAGTAGCCGTGATAAATTCTCCATTATTAACGCGTCGCACCGGTGGGAGCTAGTATTCGACAACCGAATTTGCTCGACCAACCGATCGACGAGCGATCAAGTTCGCCGAGGAAATTAATTTAATTCGATCGATCGAGGGTGATTAGGAGGGTGGAAAGTAATCGATTCGTAAGAAGCTCGCATTAGCGGGTCGGATCGCCTGTCGTCGAATTAAGCCCCGGTGCACGAAACGCTGATACGTCGGGACGCGGAGTTATGGCCTTTCGCGGACACGCTCTCGCATTTCGGGGCCACAAATCCCGACGTGACCCCCGAATTCTGCGACGCCGACGTATTATCGCATCCCGCTGGTCATTACGGTTATTATGCCTGTTACGGTTATGATGATTGTTATCGTCGTTATAGTACCCGTCCCCATTAAGCTTCTTATTACGAGCGTTTAGTAGACGTACCAGCGTGCCATGAGCACTGACTCCTTATTACCGTCCAGCTATTTACTGGCCGCTATAGCGTTCGAATCATCGCGTTTCGCTTCGTCCCTCGTTCTTCCTCCGATTCCGCCGACCTTCGATTACTCGGTGTAAATCGTTCGCCATTATCGGCTAATAACGTCGATTTTTTCAAGACGCGGGTTAATAGATCGACCGAGCCGATCGGGCCAAGATAAATCGAGTTTATTCAATTCCAGGGCAGAGACGTTGCTCCGACTTCTTCTCGTTGCAAGCAAATTACGCTACACGATCATTAGCCAGGTGGAATAGAATTAACGCGATTTCGCGTTTCAATGAGGCTCGCATCAAAGCGCCATTACCATCGAAACTTATTTACGTCAGTGGATTCGATCATTGCTCCATTATACGACTTCTTCGGCGTTGTTTTATTCGACGTCCCCGTCAATTTCGCTCAAGCTCGATCGTGCTTTTCGGTTCTCCGTGCTCGATCATCGCGGGTCATACCGGAGCAATAAACGCGATCGATGTATCGATCGATGCAGCGAGGAAGACAACGGTGAATTTTCCCATGGATTGGACTGTATTTTTCATAACAGGAGTAAATTCGGTTTCGATCGGTTTTCGATAATTAACCCAGTCGTTATTGCAAGCGAGAAGCGGTCATTTCGGGGAAAAATGACCTCGCACGTACGAGTACTCGTTGCTCATCGAATTACGAGCACTTTAACATTCCGGCTGACAGATAATGAACAGCTGATTTCGCGTAATTGTTCATTAATCAACTGTTTGAACGCGCATAAATTGCGAACGGCCAAGTGCCGTCCACGCGAATGCTACTAACTCCAGTAGATCATCGTGAAATGCAGTTCATTACGATTTAATGACAACAGGGAATGTTTAATTTCCTCGTCAAACGATACTCGCGAGAACGCTTCGAACCTTCAATTTTCGAAGCGATGCTACTCCTAAAAGATTAATACCTTCTCGTTGTGCGATGTAATTAATTAGGACGACAGTTGTGCGCTCGTGTGAGAACACTAGACAGACGACTCGAAGATTCCCAATACCTGAGATCACGATACGAACGAAGAGACCACCCGGTATGATTCAACGATTTCCAGTTTTTCTCGAGTGACTTCGAATCGGTATATCTCGCGAAGAAAAAATCGCACGACCATAAACCAAACTTGATTTCTTAGAGGAAGGTTAGCCCTATACGAGGAGCTTATCAAAAATTCTGGGAAAAAATTACCCTCTTCGGAATAATTTCGCAAACACAGCCAAAGTTCGAGTTTCTATCAAACCTAACCAGAGTCGTCTTACTATTAAATCCCGCCTCTCCCGCGAAGTAAAGCCAGGTGTATTTACAACCCATTCTTCCTTCCTCCCCAACCCTTTCGAAACACCATAAAACGGCCTCGCACAATCCCGAACCACGAACACGGCTCGAGTATGCAAATTCGTCGCGCCATGAATATACATTCTAATCTACCCTCCCTCGTCGAACTCGGGGGGTCTACCGGCGCAAGAAACGATCTTCCGGAGTGGTCGCAAGGATCCAGCATCCCTCTTC